AATGGGAATCACGGGGATTTGAACCACCGACCTTCTGATCGGCAAGTCCTAGGCTCCGTGGTTTAGACCACAGTGCCACCCGCGTCCCTATTTATGCATATTTACCAGGGTTTAAATCTCGTGGTGCCATCAGGGCAGGTGTTTGGAAGAGAGGTCCAGTGAAAAGTCAGCAGAATGAGTGTGGGGGTGATGGAAGCAAAGGCAGTATAACTGCCTTGCCACATTTTGAAGTGATTGTCATCTCAATGGTCTAAGCTCCCACTTTGAGTCCTGAGCCTTGAGCTGATGAACTGCACCGCTGAATAATCCCCACTAAACTCAGTAGGGTAGATGTGGGGGATCTCAGACCCAGGGGCCACATTGGCCCTCCAAGCCTCTCCATCTGTTCACTCCCTCCCTGATCACCCCCCCTTGCACCTCACATCCTTCACCAGTCCTTGTTCTCATCCTCTTTAAGTGTTTTTGCCTGGCCTTGAACTCTGATCATGCACCTTGCTTGTCTGGATGGTGGTTAGAGAGGAGTGAAAGTTGAAACTAGCCTACTGTACAAACATAACATTTACATTTGGTGTTCCATGTACTTTGGCCTTTGGCACTATCCATCACTGCCCTGTGGCCCTTGAAAGGTTGTCCAGTAGGGAATGTGGCCCCCAGGCTGAAAAAGATTCCCTTTTGATAGGGCTTGCTTCTGAGGAGACGTGTGCATGAATGCTCTGTAGATATAAATTTCTTTCAACAGATGGATAGATATAGATATATGTGTTTTCCCCTTGTCATCTCAAATTATTCCATCATGAGGAGGGGCAAAGATCTAGCCAAGGAACTGCAGGAGGGAGAGGGGAAATCCCACAGCAAATAGATGCAAGCATGCAGTGCCAAATGAGGTTACATCTTACAAGTGCCAAGGAGGAGGCTAACAACTAGAGACAAAGTCTTAAAATTGAGGGGAAGCAACAGGCCAGCTGCCACTGCCTCTGCCTGTCTCTGTGGGAACATAAGCTGAACATTGCTATCTCCAAAAAATTATAATTCCCCAGCCCCCAGCCCTTCACTTAGCTTGCCTTGACTGTTAACTCTGGTTCTTACAAATTGCTTGCATCCTCTAGTCGTCACAAGCTGAGTTTAGGCTAAAATGAAATTGCAGCACTTCAGCTGATTTCTCTGAAGGCAGAGTTCATTCTGGAATCTGATTTTTCTTCATCCAGGAAGCTTCTGTTGATGTCTGAAATTTGCAACCATGATTCTGTAGAGGAAGCATAGTACAATAGATAGAATGCCAGAATAGCTATGAGGCAGATCTGGCAGTTATCAGGCCCAGTTTGGACATATAATGAGTTTTGGACTTCATTAGGGCAACATCAGCTGTCCTTGGGAGCTCTCCTGGGTGTTGAAGAACCTGACTCTGAATACCTGTAAACCAGGCTTCGACTACAGGAATGGGGAACTTCCATCCCATGTGCCTGATTAGGTCCACCAGGCTTCCCCATTTGACCCTCTCAGGCCATCAAATATGATGTAAGGTGTGAGGAAGGTAAACATCGAACACATCCTAAAGGGTATTTGCAGGTATCACCAGCTAGCTGATGGGTGGTGTCTTCAAAGTCCTTTTCAATGTGGTGTACAAAATAGCACTTTGAGATGGGGCTTCTGAAAATCTCTGCAGGCAAAAATGTCATCTGACATCATTGTGACATCCGGTGAATGACAGGTGGGTGACTGCATCTAGCTGTCAGATGGGGGGGAATAACAATCTGCCCTGCTGGGCTAAAAGGGGTTTCCCATCCCTGTGTTACTATCTGAAAACTGCTTCTTGATTATGGTGGTCACCAGGTCTCAGTTCTCCACAAGCCTTGCATCTCAGCCCTGCCAGAGCAAGGCATAAATAAATTATGTCCCACCAGAAAGACATACTCAGATGGCTGTGATTTGGTTAATTTACTCTTTTTAAATAACTACTGTAATAAAACTGGCAATTAAAAACAAGAGACGGAGAGAGGGAGAACACTGAAATTACAATGCGGCTATAACTGTAACTGCCTTGTTACCATGTTACATCAGAAAAGAACACACACACACAGTGTCCTAAGGCAGTGTCTTAAAGACAGATTTATAATCACATAAGCCAGGGTTGGCAATATTTTGTCCCTGAAGGCCCTATATATCAGTGCGCAGGCATTTGGAGGCCACATGACACTAGGCCTAGCTGGTGGTGTTTGGAGCATATCACTTCACTGGTATTCCTCTCTATCAGGGGTGAAGCATGAGGAGGATATGGTACAGACTTTGGAGGAGCACAATCTCAGGAGGCTGCAGCAAAATTTGGTCGGGGGAGAATTTGGTAATCTGCAGATCTGTGTACAACTGCCTTCTCCATATTATCTGTGCTATTAATGGGCAGAAATTGGGGTGATCTTTTCACTTAATATTTCCAGGAGGAGGTAACATTCACCAGAGGTTTCTCTGGGGTGGAGCTCACCATTCACAGTGGCAATGTGACAGCTCCTCCCTTCCTTTTTATAAATCAGCCCTTCATCATACTAGAGTGGGTTACAATGAAATACCAATATAATACAAAATAGAGCAGCACCACTGATGTTAACCAGTTTCCATAAGAGCAGTTTCCGGCATCAATACTCTGACTCCCATTCTGCATTTCCCACAATGTACGGGGGCTTGCATCATTCCGGGACACTGTGAGTAGGAAATTGTAGGCACCAGAAAAAGAAAGAAATGAGTGGTGGAGTGGTCTTCTTGGAGTGGAAGATGTCTTCTGTGAAATTTCAACCCAGCTATGAAGTTCAAAACCTTAATTAAACATACCTGGTAATTAACATACCTCTCCTTCTCCCACCCTCCAACCACATGATTGTGCAAGTCCTCCAAATCAGTTCAGGGTCCAGATCCAAGTCAGCTTAGCTCCTGATCATCCTGGGCTGTCTAGGAGCCCAAATCTGATCACGATAGAGCATGCACAACCCTGATTTAAAGCATATGTTTAAATGCAGTCTTTTGTGGGGGTTTCTTCTTCTTCTTAATTGCAGCTTAATGCCAGAATGTGCTGGAACAGACCTAAGAATTGAGCATATGTGAAAGAGGTACAAAACATAAGGAGATTTGCCACTGCTGGATGATCCAAAGTGAATCCAGGCTCTGGTTTGATAATTGCTTTTAAGAAACTGAAACTTTGGAGGAAAAAATAGATACCTTCCCTGAGAATTCCTGAAGAGGTGTCTAACTTAACTATAGCCTCTCTCTGAAGCTTTAAAGCCCTTAAACTGTTGCTATCACCTGTGGAGGAAAATGCTGTTTTGCTTTCAGTGTCTGCGGAGAGAGACTTCCACATCGGATGAATACTAAGCAGAAATCTGACTTTTCAAAAGAACAAAGATATGGGAAGGAGGGAGAGAACCTGAATTTGAAAGGGGATTTATTTCTAGAGCAATCCGCTTAGGTGTTTTATTGCGTGCACGCTAAAGAGTTTAGAAGAAACAGTTAACTCAAATTAAAAACAAAATGAAGGGAGACGAAGAAAGGGAGGCAAAGCAAACCATTAGCTAAGGCAATGATAGCTGAAGGCAAGTGAATTGCAAGCGGCCCTTTTCATCTGCTGGGAGTATTGCAAGAGCTATGGAACCACAGGAAGGAGAAGCAAAATAATGATGTTCCATAGTTTTGAGGTGGGGATGCTTCACTTTGTACCTGAGGTAGTGTGTGTGTTGCTCTAGGACCCAAAGATAAGCAGGATGGTGTACTGGTGTCTGGAGATCAAGGGTCCATTAAAGGTACAGAAAAGCAAAATGGAAAACAAAAAAATATGTTGGCAAGTCTAGTCCTGACTATATTCCTACTTTGGCCACAGTGGGGAGCTTGGTGCAGCATCTCAGAACTGAGGTGAAATGGGCTGGTCTGCTTTGGGGGAAGACACTTTTTACTGATTCCAATTAAATTCTACTCAGAGTAGACCTATTTGAATTATTTGTTTGCTATTATACATAACATGCAACCATTTTACTTCTTTATCATATGACCTTTGGGTTTGTTAACATTTTATAATGATTTGTACTCCTACGTATAGTTAACGTGATTTGATTAACTTTCTCTGAGTTTTAATTTTATATCTAATACATTTATTAATTTAATGCAAATTAATAGGGAGGGAGAGTTGGTGCTTGCAAAAAGAAGGAAGTTAAGGGGGGTATGCTACCCACCAGCAAAGAACTTGCCATGTCATTTTGCTACTCTTTTCTCATAGACATGGCCTCTGTTTTCAATCCCAGCCCCTGTGAATTCCAATCAAAGGTTCAAATAATTAAAGCAGAGGGTTTGGAATCACAGGCTCTGGCATCGAATGAGGCTGTCTAAGTTTCTCTATCTGACCCTCAGGACTCTCTTCAGACCACAGGCCCTCCCCAGACATACTTTCTCTCTGGTTCTGTTTTGAGAGCTTTTGACCGGCTAGAATGTGTCCTTCAACTCTGATCATGTCTCTTGCTTGTCTAGATGGAGAATAAAGAGCAGTACAGTGGTACCTCTGGTTACGCACTTAATTCGTTCTGGAGGTCCGTTCTTAACCTGAAACTGTTCTTAACCTGAAGCACCACTTTAGCTAATGGAGCCTCCCACTGCTGCCGCGCGATTTCTGTTCTCATCCTGAAGCAAAGTTCTTAACCTGAGGTACTATTTCTGGGTTAGCGGAGTCTGTAACTTGAAGTGTCTGTAACCTGAAGCGTATGTAACCTGAGGTACCACTGTATGTGAGTGTGTGCCGAAGCTACTCTACTCTGTCCAAAGGTCAGATTTGCACGTGTTGTTCCACCCACTTTCATCTCTGGTCCTCCAAGGGTGCATGGAAGGAAATGTGGCCCTTAGGCTGAAAAATGTTCCTCATTCCTGATGTGAATTTTCACCTTGGCCATACAACGTTTCCCAATCTATTTAATTGAATGCCTTTTCTGCTTTTCTTCTCTCAACCCCACCTCCCACCCCTGCCATTATTCCAGAAATAATAACAATATGTTCAGCGAGGTGGTGCGGCTGAACTTTGAAATAGCCAGCTTCAGCAGTCTTTCCGGAACACAGCCTATCACCTGGCAGGTGGAATATCCTCGAAAAGGGACAACAGACCCAGCCCTCTCTGAAATCTTCATTTGCCAGAAGGATCTCGTCGGGATTGTTCCATTGGCGATGGTAAGAGAGTTCACGTAGACAGACGTAGCCCTTTTCAAAATTTACTTTTATTGCCATTTATTTATTCTGAGGCTTCTTTCATGGTGAGTACTGCAACTTAATAATTTATTTTATTCTGCCTATCTCGCAAGCAGCTCAGGGTACATGGCTCCTCACTACCACCATGTTATCCTGACATTAAATAAGGTTTTAAAAAGATACATTTGAGAAAAAGAGGATTAAGATATTGTGGCTTTTTTCTGATTTCTCACCCAGTCAGAATCCAGTCTGCATTTTATGGTATCCCTAGGGATAGGGACGCAGGTGGCGCTGTGGGATAAACCACAGTGCCTAGGGCTTGCTGATCAGAAGGTCAGCGGTTTGAATCCCCGCAATGGGGTGAGCTCCCGTTGCTCAGTCCCTGCTCCTGCCAACCTAGCAGTTCGAAAGCATGTCAAAGTGCAAGTAGATAAATAGGTACCGCTCTGGTGGGAAGATAAACAGTGTTTCCGTGCGCTGCTCTGATTCGCCAGAAGTAGCTTAGTCATGCTGGCCACATGACCCGGAAGCTGTGCGCTGACTCCCTCGACCAATAAAGTGAGATGAGCACCGCAACCCCAGAGTCGGCCACAACTGGACCTAATGGTCAGGGCTCCCTTTACCCTTTACCTTATGACAGGGATGGATAACTTGTTCTGAAGAAAAGTGCTGAAGAAAAGACAAAGTTTCCCACCTCTTCCCTTCCCTTCCCTCCCCTCCCCTCCCCTCCTCTAACTCTACCTGTTGCACTGCTGTTCAGATAAAGCCCCATGCCCGGCCATGCTCTCTCCTGTTTGCTCCTTCAATGAGTGAGCAAGAGGACTGATGGGTTGTCTAAGCTGCTTGCTCTCTCCTGAAGAGGCCCACAGGGACACAGGGTAGGTGCCAAGACCTCTTGCAAGACTCCCGTCTCCCACTCAGTGTCCAGGAGGCAGCAGCTCTGAGGCACCTTTGGCTTTGCGTCTGGGGCTGGAGGGGGTAGAATTCCTGCCCGGCAGAATCCAAACTTTTCCCCCAGCCTGTGCCAGTCCTTCCCTGGGGCTTCCCTCCTGGCATGTGTCCTTGGATGAGACATGCACCCAGCAGCAGGAGCATGGAGAGGAGAGCCGGCATGCCCAGAACCCGCCACTGCCCACCTCACATGAGCCCCTCACACTGCACAGTCAATGAGAGGTGCACTCCAACACCATCCTACTATGCCTGCTGCACCTGGGGCTCCAGCACTCCTGCGACACCACCCAGCCCGCCAGAGAGCACAAGCTGCCGCTCCTACTGGGAGCTTGCAGAGCTGAAAGGGTGAACAAGAGAACCAGCAGGTGGCAGGTGACCCATCTGAAGAGCGGTTACCGCAGGGGTGCAGCAGAGTCCACCTGTTGCCTCCAGGGGGCACCCCATACAACATCCACAAGATTAGGGGGTGCAATGCTTGCCTTGCCCTGGGTGCTGCCAACCCATGCTAGGCCACTGCATCTGCCCATGTGTCAGTGCACTGGGAAGACATTACAAATACTACATAGCCATTCAGCTCTGACTACACAGTGACATTACTGGGGGTGAGCAAAGTCAGGTGAGAGCAAGTGATGACATTGTGTCCAAACAGGCAAAACAGAAAATTCTAGGCAGGGAGTGGTTGAAAAAGAAGTCGGGGTGATTTTGATGGGAGGAAAAGTTTGTGGAATAACTGTGAATAGTTTTGACTCAGCCCCAGTTAGATTACAGAAAGAAAAGCTATCTCTATCTCTAGTTATTAACATTAACGTGATGTTAATGGGCAGCTCAGGAACTTTCTCTTGGTGAAAGTCAATTGTGATTTATAGTACTTGGTCCAAAAAAAAGAGAGGAGGGGATAAAAATCAGACAGCAGCCTGGTACGAGGACACCTACTAAAAATGTGCTTTGAAACACCTTCTTAGTGCTGAGTGCATCTGTTTCTCTGCCATGCCTGGTGATAAGGCATGGCGGGAGCTCTAATGTGTCGTACTGATAAAATCCAGGTGTATAATGTGTCAGTGGTTTAAAAAAAAAAATGCCTTTGCGAGCAGGATATGACTAGATAAAGGAAAGCTCCCTGCTTTCTCTTTAGCTTTGCAGTTCCAGCCGGGCTCTTTTAAAAAATTTCTTCTTCATTTGAACGTTAATCTCCTGCCGAGCTGATTACCTGGCAATATCCTTGTTCGGAATCACAGAGAGAGTGAGACAGAGGGAGAAAGATAGAGTCAAAGGGAAAGTTTGATGCAGCCATCTGCTAAGAAGTCAGAATTGCTCTGTGCATTCAGGCAAGCTAAGTGCTGCCAACTCTATATTAAAAAATTTAGGTCCCCTGTGCTATGTACCAAGTTTTCCCCTCGAAGTTAGATTTTGGAAATTTAGAACAGAGTGGGGCCTGTGGAAGACCTGCTGATGCAGTAGAATGAAATAGTGGAACTCTGAGTACAGGTGGGCGGTCAATTTGCTTTCTCTCAGTTTCCCATTTTTCCACTCAGTTTCCTACATTTCCATAGCAATTTCTGATTTATTTATTTTACGTATTCATGTAAATTCATGAGTATCTTAGTGTGAAAGCATTTTTAACAATGTATGCATTATTATGTACATGTTTCCCTAATATATGCATTATTCTACAAATCATTGGGTTAAAGAACTGCATGGCAAAATAAGGAGAAGTGTGAGTTTTGAAGATTAGTATATTGCTTTGAGAAGAGAAGAGTGAATTGGGTCGATTTTCATTAAGGTTAATGGGCGACACCACTACAGACTGCATCTTGGCACGGGTGGGGACACTCTTTCTGAATGTGGCCCTCCATGCCTCTCTCTCTGGCCCTTGGAACTCTCCCTAGGCCACGCCCCTCTCTGGCCTTGCATTGCAACCTGAGCACTTTTGCCAGGCTGGAATGTATCCTTGAATGCCTCCTACTTGCCTGGATGAAGGATGGAGACTGTTGTGTGAGTGTGTGTAAAAACTAGCCTACTGCCCACTTTTGCCTCTGGCCTCACTCATCACTGGCATGCGCCCCTCAAAACATTGCCCAGAAGGTCCAGTATACCTGAAGGACCATCTCCACCCCCATCGTTCTGCCCGGACACTGAGGTCTAGTGCTGAGGGCCTTCTGGCGGTTCCCTCATTGCGAGAAGCCAAGTTACAGGGAACCAGGCAGAGGGCCTTCTCGGTAGTGGCACCCGCCCTGTGGAACGCCCTCCCACCAGATGTCAAAGAGAAGAACAACTACCAGACTTTTAGAAGACAGCTGAAGGCAGCCTTCTTTAGGGAAGCTTTTAATGTTTAACAGACTACTGTACTTTAATACTTTGTTGGAAGCCGTCCAGAGTGGCTGGGGAAACCCAGCCAGATGGGAGGGGTATAAATATTATTATTATTATTATTATTATTATTATTATTATTATTATTATTATTAGGCCCTTAAGCTGGAAACTGATCACACCTCACTGATGAAAGCTGCTTTGCAGCAGTGTGGAGCAGTAGCAACTCTCAGCAGTCCTGAAAATTCCTCACCTTTTCAGCCTCCAGCTTCCCAGTCCTGTTTCTGTTGCAGACTGGCTCAGACATCTCAGCTGTCACAGTTGTTCCTTGCATCCTGGGGAGAAAGGCTCCCTCGCCTTATCCTCCTTCCTTCTGATCTGGCAGGCAAAGGCAGCAACTGTGGGCACATATGGTGGCTGCGGCACTTGGCAGCCGCCGGATCGAAAAGCATCGCTCCGTGATGTCGCTCACAAGCAAGCAGCATCTGTGGCGAGAACAGCCTGGCTCATCTCGATTCTGGCCGATTCTGAAGTTTCTCCAGCATCTACTGCTCATGCTGCTACAGCAGCTGTAAAGTTGCCCGTGGGGGCTCTGTTGACTGGGCTGGCTTATGGCATCACTGTCTTTTCCGCTACATACGGAGGCTTAAGTATCATTTTTACCTCTTGGTTGTCAAGCTGTGGCTTAGAAGAAATGCCACAAAAATCCTCCTGGAGGACAGTCAAGACAAGCTCACGGCTCCATGGAAAGAACGCAGACCATTTGCTGGAGTTTCAGTGTGAAATACAAAAGACAAAACCATATATACGTAATAAGCACTTTTTTAAAAAAAAACACCTACTTGTCAACTCCTCCCCATCAGTGTCTGAGCTTCAGCGATGTCACAGAATGTGCATGATTATTCCAACTTCTAGGAAGAGAGCAAGCAGTTGTGAAAATAAGGCAATGTCTATGGGTTGCAAAAGATTTTGTGGTTGGAGAGGAAAGGAGGGAGTATAGCAGAGTGGTAGAGTCCATGTTTTGCATGTAGAAGGTTCTACATTCAATCCCTGGTGACTCCAGCTGAAAGGACCCTAGGGAGGAGGATTGCCAGAGATTTTGGAGACCACAGAAGGCTAGCCCAGTCCAGGAAAAGACTGTCTCTTCCCTCTCTCCTACCCATGCCTCGTGTTGTGTTGTGACAACCTAGCAACAGAGGGATGCATCACTTTGATGGTTCTGAAGACCCTTTCTCAAAGTATTTGTGAAAGGGGTGAGCAGTTTCATAACCTGGGAGTGGAGAGTCTGTTTTTCTTTTGGATCACTTGCTGTGCAGAATGAGACCTTCCTCATACAATTTTCTAGTAGCATTTGTGGAAAGGGCCACATTCCATGGCATTATAGAGTCTGAGGACCAAGATGCTGCTGACAGACATGAATGTGAGATACATCCAAGGCTGCTCAGACCTAATGGGAAGGCAACTATCCAAACTATACTTGCCCTCTCCGCCCAGCTTCCAGTAAGTGGCTTTTTTATTGCATTTATACCTCATCCTACCAGACCATCCAATGTCTCTTTCTATATATATATCACTCTCTCTCTCTCTCTCTCTCTCTCTCTCTCTCTCTCTCACACACACACACACACACACACACACACATTTTGGCTTCATAACCACCCTGTGAGGTAGGCTCACAGTAACTGGTCCAAGATCACCCAGTGAGCTTCATGCCTGAAGCAGGG